GAGCTAAGCTACTAGTTACTCCACATCAAATAAAGTTTAACTATACTGAAGCTATCTCCAGTGAAATGTAGTGAGCTAAGCTACAGGATAATGGCAAAAGTAGTTTGCTGCTTCCAAAGCTAGTTTTATTTTTTTAACTTTATGTCAAATCAGGGTTATAATAAATGACAAGAAAAACAGGGAGGCAGTTTATTATAAGATAAGATTATAAGAAATAAACTGATGCATTTCTCTGTCTTGGCCTCTTTCAGTCGACTATCTGTCTGTCAGTCTGTCTGTTAAAAAACAGATATCCTAAAAATATTTTTCAGTCAATAAAACCACAATAAATAAAAGCAAGTCATATAAACGATAAAAATAGCAGACTTAAATTAAAACTTTTCTTTTTTGGGGGACATCAGAACATGAACATGTCCTGCAAATAACACGTGACATCAGTACGTCCCTCTCTTCCTACTAACACTGTTCTCTGTCTCTCAGCTGTGTGTGATGTCATGTTGTGACGGTTTGAAATATAAGTTTTATTTTATTTATGTTATCTTATTTTATTTTCATTTTGTTCAGTTAGGGTTGTCTTGTTTTTTCTGGGGTGCAAGACAGGTCTCTCTCCTGGCATGTGAGATTGTCAGTCAAGTTTTAGGTCGTTGAGTTTTTTTCTGTTTTTCTTTTAGTTGTTTGTTTTAAGTCAAGTCAAATTTATTTATAAAGCACATTTAAAAGTGAATAAAAGAGATACAGGTGAAGTAAAATAATAAACAAAACAAACACAGCAACCAACATAGATCGAGGCACAAGTAACCACAGAGGCAACATCAGGAGGACTCTGAAGCTTCAGTAAACAGGAACGTTTTAAGCCTTGATTTAAAGAGTCGATGGAGGGGGCAGGTCTGACAGAGGGGGGGTGCTGTTCCAGAGTGTGGGGGCTGCGACCACAGAGGCACGGTCACCCCTGAGTTTAAAATAAGTGCGTGGAACAGTTAAAGCCCTATGTTAGCCGACCTGAGGGGTCTGGAGGTGGAGTGAGGGGTTAAAGTTCCTTCATGTAGGAGGGGGCCACTCCATTCAGGGCTTTGTATGTGAATAAAAGAAGTTTAAAATCAATACGGTGCTGCACTGGCAGCCAGTGGAGAGAGACCAGGACAGGGGTGATGTGGTCTCTCTTTCGGGTACCTGTCAAAGGTCTGGCTGCAGCGTTTTGTACTAGTTGTAAACAGGAGACAGATGACTGGTTAATTCCAGTGTAAAGAGAGTTGCAGTAGTCCAAATGGGTGGAAATGAAAGCATGGATGACTTTTTCTAGGTCCTTGAAACTCAGGAATGGTTTGATTTTTGCGACGGTGTGAAGTTGGAAAAATCTGGCTTTGACTATTGAGTCGACCTGTTTATCGAACATGAGTGCAGAATCGAAAATGACACCGAGGTTTTTGACATGCAGTGTTTTAAATCCAAAACCTCACAAAGGATGTACCTTACTAAGAAATATTGAGTGACACACAAGAATACAGTCAGGTCCATAATTATTTGGACAATGATACAGTTGTCTTCATTTTGGCTCTGTACACCACCACAATGGGTTTTAAATGAAACAATGAATACCTGCTTAAAGTGCAGACTCTCAGCTTTCATTTAAGGCTTTTTTCAAAAATGTAGTATGAACCGTGTAGGAATTACAACCATTTCTTCACACAGTCCCCCGACTTTAAGGGCTCATAAGTATTTGGACAAACTAACATAATCATCAATTAAACAGTCAGTTTTAATACTTGGTTGCAAATCCTTTACAGTCAATGACTGCCTGAAGTGTTGGACACATAGGCATCATCAGATGCTGGGTTTGCTGGTGATGCTCTGCCAGCCCTTTACTGCAGCCGTCTGCACTTCCTGCTTGTGTTTTGGGTGTTTTGACCTCAGTTTTGGCTTCAGCAAGAGAAACGCATGCTCAGTTGGATTCAGGTCAGATGATATGACTTGGCCATTGCAGAACATTCCACTTCTTTGCCTTAAAAATGTCTTTGGTTGCTTTTGCAATATGCTTCAGGTCATTGTCCAACTGCACTGTGAAGCATCGTCCAATGAGTTTTGAAGCATTTAGTTGAATCTGAGCAGATAATGTAGCCCCAAACACTTCAGCTTTCATCCTGCTGCTCTTGTCAGCAGTCACATCATCAATAAATACAAGAGAACCAGTTCCACTGGCAGCCATACATGGCCATGACATAACAGTACCTCCACCATGCTTCACTGATGAGGTGGTGTGCTTTGGATCATGAGCAGTTCCTTCCCTTCTTCCTTCTCTTGTCTTCCCATCATTCTGGTAGTTGATCTTTGTTTTATCTGTCCATAGTATGCTGTTCCACAACTGTACAGGCTTTTTAGATGGTTTTTGACAAACTCTAATCTGGCCTTCCATTTTTAAGGCTAACCAATGGTTTGCATCTTGTGATAAACCCTCTGTATTTATTCTAGTGAAGTCTTGTCTTGCTGACAAGAGCAGCAGGATGAAAGCTGAAGTGTTTGGGGCACCATTATCTGCTCAGATTCAACCAAATATTTCAAAACTCATTGGACGATGCTTCACAGTGCAGATGGACAATGACCTGAAGCATATTGCAAAAGCAACCAAAGACATTTTTAAGGCAAAGAAGTGGAATGTTGTGCAATGGCCAAGTCATATCATCTGACCTGAATCCAACTGAGCATGCGTTTCTCTTGCTGAAGCCAAAACTGAGGGCAAAACACCCAAAACACAAGCAGGAAGTGCAGACGGCTTCAGTAAAGGGCTGGCAGAGCATCACCAGGGAAGAAACCCAGCATCTGATGATGCCTATGTGTCCAACACTTCAGGCAGTCATTGACTGTAAAGGATTTGCAACCAAGTATTAAAACTGACTGTTTAATTGATGATTATGTTAGTTTGTCCAAATACTTATGAGCCCTTAAAGTCGGGGGACTGTGTGAAGAAATGGTTGTAATTCCTACACGGTTCATACTACATTTTTGAAAAAAGCCTTAAATGATGAAAGCTGAGAGTCTGCACTTTAAGCAGGTATTCATTGTTTCATTTAAAACCCATTGTGGTGGTGTACAGAGCCAAAATGATGACAACTGTATCATTGTCCAAATAATTATGGACCTGACTGTAACACAATGAGCAGCTGGATATGCAATAAATAAAGCAGAACTGATTTGAGTAAAGACATTAGAACAAATCTGGGTATATAAACGGTTGGTTCTTCAGTTGGCAGTTACACCGAGAGTAAAGCTACTGAAGACCAGCAAAATGTTTTCCTTTATTCTTTCAGGTGGGTAAATGTCACCTAAGCACCTTCAGATTTTATCAGTAGTGTACCTTTAATAGATAATGTGTTTATATAGTTTGTATTGTGCTTCTGTAACGTAAGGTAACTGCATACGAGTGGATGCAGCCGTCACTAATGCTAGCGTAGGTCCTCAGGGATTAAAGCCGTTATTACTTTAATGTTGACACTCTGACCTGTGACAGCACATTAGCTAAGGCTGTAAGGACTGTAACTGTTGGTAGCTGCTGTTGATTTTGTTTAAATATGTTGAATTATAATTTTATGGGTTATTGTTTGTTGGACGATTGAGCTAAGCTAACTAACACTAATGTCAGCTGTCACTTGTTGCCATAGCAACGGTAAACATTCACATACAGGCTAAGTGCAGAGTGCAGAATCAAGCTTCATTGTAAATATAGTNACTAATGTCAGCTGTCACTTGTTGCCATAGCAACGGTAAACATTCACATACAGGCTAAGTGCAGAGTGCAGAATCAAGCTTCATTGTAAATATAGTTAAGACACATTGTGTTTAACACAGGATGTGGGATTCTAGCAGTTAGTAAACTTTTAGAAAAGAGCTATTTACTGTCGCTCTGACGTCAAACAATGGAGACAGGTAATAAAATACTGCGGTTATCCTATCTACACGCAACCACTGGCACCAGAGTCTTCCAAAAACTTCACCCTGGAGGGTGCCCAAAAGTGCGGTTGCGTGTGGCCAAACAGCCAAATTGCATAGAATAATACACGGTTTCAGAAGCACACGGGTCGGTGTGGACTAGGCCTCAGTTCAGTTTGTAACAAAAATGTAGCTCAGTTGGCCCAAAAACTCAGAAAGACAAAATAAAGATGATAACGAAAAAGAGTGTACTCTCAGTCTGGTCATTTTGTTAGTTACGGTCAGTCAAAGTCAGTCTGGAGATCCAGCTCTGGTTTTGCTGCTGCAGGCTGCTGGTGTGGATAGTGACTGGCGTAATGAACAGATGACAGGCTGTGAATGGCAGGTGAGGATTTTAACTTTATTTTGGAGTGGAGGTTAATCGGAGGACGACTATCGCAGACGGCGGATGAAACGAGGACGGGATTGACGGCCTAACTTAAGTTTCAATATGGCGCTGTGAGCGTGCTGCTTTGGTAGAGCGCTGGCGTCAGTCATGTTACTTAGTCTCGGTTTACTTTTATCCAGACCTTTGCAGAAAAATAGTCAACTGCACTTCAATCAATCAACCAATCAATCAATTTTATTTATAAAGCCCAATATCACAAATCACAATTTGCCTCACAGGGCTTTACAGCATACAACATCCCTCTGTCCTTATGACCCTCACAGCTGATCAGGAAAAACTCCCCAAAAAAACCCTTTAACACATTTTAGAGCTTTTCCGGGGAAGAATAGGAGAATAGCTTGTAACTTCTGTGGACACGACCACGCTACTTGGTCAATGGATCAACTTCACTACTGAAAAGCTATTTGACTCACAAAGTAGTGACGTCACCACCACGCTACTGAGAAATGTAGTTACGTTAGTAACGTTGCTACTTGTAGTGACGCTACTGCCCAGCACTGCTTGTACAGAGAATGTTTAAAGTCTCTGACTGTTACGATACTACTTGTGTATTTGTTTGAATGCAGATTTTATTTGACACTGTTGTTACGTTTGAATGATGAAATGATGTCATACTGTCTGTGTTTGTCAGAACCTTTAAAATAATGGACGACGACAACAACCGCTCCCTGGAGCTGAAGGAGTTCCTAAAGGGTTTGAACGACTTCGGGATCCTGATCGAGAAACAAGAGGCCACGGCTCTCTTTCAGCGATTCGACCGCGACGGGAACGGGACCATTGACTTCGACGAGTTCCTCATCACTCTGAGGGTAAATATACAGAGAGGTGACTGTGCAGCTGAGCAGCAGTTTGTGTGTCTTAACTTCAGGTGTTCACTGCAGCCGCAGATGTCTAAAGCCAGGAAGGAGGTGGTCATGCAGGCATTTCGGAAGCTGGATAAGACAGGTGACGGGGTGATCACCATCGAAGACCTGCGGGGGGTTTATAACGCCAAGTACCACCCGAAGTACCAGAACGGGGAGTGGACAGAGGATCAAGTCTTCAGGAAGTTCCTGGACAGCTTTGACTCTCCATACGACAAAGATGGAAAGGTAATCCAGTTTTTATCTGACAGGCTGCGTCACGTCTTCATCAGGTGGTTTATGTGATGAGTTTCAGTGTCTGGAGGTCAGTGACAACATTCAGATACTGTGTAGGCCTGAAGGAAGCTGTAATCACTGAGCTCACACTGGTATGATCTCTGAAGGTGACCCAGGAGGAGTTTATGAATTATTATGCTGGTGTGAGCGCGTCCATCGACACAGACGTCTACTTTATTGTGATGATGAGAAATGCCTGGAAACTCTGACTGAGCATCGTTCTGGTAAACCAGCTTATCGTTGGGTTGGTGTGGTGGTGGAGGGAGGTGGAGGGAGGTGGAGGGAGGTGGAGAGTGGTGGAGGCAACAGAGGCTTATTTTTCCCCACAGACACAGCTCACTGTGCATCTGGAAATATTCTGCAGAGTATATTGTATGGTTTTTAAATTCTAACATACCACAAAGAGAAAAAGACGTGAAATAAAGTGGTGATGGAACCATACAAGATACAAACCTCAGTAGTGCAGTAGTTTGGTGGCTGTTGTTCCTCACTGTTCAGTAACTTTACCTTCAGCAGGTCGACTCTGGCTTCTCTCTGTAGTTCAGTAAAGCTCAAAATGATCCTTTTCATTTCAGTTTCTGGACTCAGACGTGTGCACTCCCCTCACTCACTGCTTCCATCCAAGTCTACAGACTTGTTTGGCCCCTCTAAAGCTCCTTTCCCACTGCACAGGAAACCACAAACACCTGCTGACATCTGGATTTGTAATGTAATGGGACAGGTTACAATCAGCGTTCGTGCCCAGGTCAGTCACGGTTATTTATGAGCTCCAGCACCGATCTGCATGGATGGAAACAGCACCGGGGTGAACACACTAATTTTACCCCTTTACCGGCGAGATGCACTGACGCACCACCACAAAGTACCATCTGTCTCCGCCCAGGCAGCTCAGACATCGACCTGAATCAGTCTGCACTGAGTCTGAAGAGAGACTGAATCAGTCAGAGATATGTGACCAGAAGTAACCACCATAAAGTTTTCACTGGCCTCTGTGCTGCTTTCTATTGTTTACTAACCTGTTGTCAGGCATGTCTGTGACGTCGACCGTGACACACCAGTAAAACATAAAAACAGAAAGGCGTTTTCGTGTGCTGCAGAGCCGTGTTCACAGCTCAGCTCTACTGCCCATGGGAAAGGAGTCCATCGACCAGTGTTTAAAAAACGTGAGCTAATTTTGGTGAAAAATGGGTATGAGAGGGATGTGGACAAATAACTAAGAGGAACAGAACACATACAGTATGTCACATTCTGCCAGTAGAAACAGTAACAAAAGACGAGCAGTGTTGTCATTGCAGTGAACGTCTCCTGGTTACAACTCCTTCAGTGTTTGTTGAGGAGCTGAATTATCCACACAGGTCTCGTCCTCTCAGAGACAAACACACCAGCTGATTTACACCAGGAAACACTCTGAAGAATGATTCATGTTAAAAATCAGTGTGTCTCTGATTAAACACACATTAGACACACAGTAAACACATTAGACACACAGTAAACACACATTAGACACACACACATTAGACACACAGTAAACACACATTGAACACACACACATTAAACACATATTGAACACACACACATTAAACACACATTGAACACACATTAGACACACATTAGACACATTACACACACATTAAACTCACATTAAACACACGTTAGACACACATTAAACACACATTACACACACATTAGACACACATTAAACACACATTAGACACACATTAGACACATATTAGACACATTACACATACATTAAACACACATTAGACACATATTAGACACATTACACACACATTAAACACATATTAGACACACATTAAACACACATTAAACACGTTAGATACACATTAAACACACATTAGACACATATTAGACACATTACACACACATTAAACACACATTAAACTCACATTAGACACACATTAAACACACATTAAACTCACATTAAACACATGTTAGACACACATTAAACACACATTAAACACACGTTAGACACACATTAAACACACATTACACACACATTATACACACATTAAACACACATTACACACACATTATACACACATTAAACACACATTACACACACATTATACACACATCAAACACACATTAAACACACATTAAACTCACATTACACACACATTAAACACACATTAAACACACATCAAACACACATTAAACACACATTAAACTCACATTACACACACATTAAACACACATTAAACTCACATCAAACATGGCTTAATGGAGACAATTTGACACACATATGCAGCTCCATTACAGCTCACAAGGTTCACTGACAAAACAACAAAAAGTGAACCTCCACTTCAGGCTCATTTGGATGGAAGCAGCAGCTGTCTGATGATCTCTTCTTTACTTTGCACTCGTTAGTAGAACTCACACTTTGATCTTGTCGTACTGCTGTGACTCGACACTGAAATCTTTGCTCTAATCAACAGGTGACTCAAGAGGAGTTTGTCAACTATTACTGCGGAGTCAGCGCCTCCATCGACAGTGACGTCTACTTTATTCTGATGATGAAAAACGCCTGGAGGCTCTGAACACAAAGGACACTGACGAACTGTTCAGCTCCTCCCAGCTGTAAATCACTGTTAGATCATTCTCTGCATGACGTTAGCACCGTAGTTTAAAGGCAGATCATCATCAGGTCTGATGTGTTGTAGATGATCACAGGGCGACAGCATCACTTCTTAACTGTTCTGTTTTATTACATGCAACACCGTCAGCTCTGTTTAAATAAAGAACATGTTGTACAATCAGACGTTATGGTGTAGTACACACAGCTGAAATATTACAATCAGACCAGAGAGGAAATAAAGTGTACATTCTGTGTTTGTCGTTCAGCCGTCACTGTGAGGAAACATGAGGTTTAGGTTGTGTCAGATACATGAAGAAGCAGCATGGTGCTTGGTGTGGGGTCAGGTCGCTGCAGCAGCACGTGTCACCTGTCTGACCAGAACGACACGTACTGCTGGTCAGCAGAGGGAGACGAGCCTGATCCATGACGAACAACAGCTGAAGTTCTTTAACAGTTTCAGTGCAGATACGAGCAGCTTTTTTTAAAAAGACCTCGCTGGTGTTTCTGAACGTTTTAGCTCAAATCAAACAGACGGGTGACAAATTAAAAGGAAACACCTGAACGACTCAAACGCTCGACCTCTTCACCTCCGCAGGAGCGCAGCAGCAGCTCCAGACTCTGACCTGCAGCAGCTCAAACTTAGCCGGGGTTCTGATACCGGACCGCCCTGCCTCCCAGCTGGATCAGAAACCTGTCTGCTGTGAAATAGATCAGGCACAGTGTGATGCACCTTAACGCTACATCACCTCCACCCAGACTGAGGTCACTGATCTGCCAGGTAGCTTCTAAGGAAAGCCCAAAAAAAAAGAAGAGCGTAGACCTTTGTGCCAGCGCGGTGCTGAGGACATTCAAGAGGTGGTCTTTGAGGAAGTTCTAGCACTCACTTAGGTGGATCTAGGGGTGTGGTCAGGTGTGGTCCTCTAAGAGGTTCATGTGGACACTGAGGAGTTTGTAGTAGTCCTCGAGGTGGTTCTGTTGTCCATTTAAGAGGTTCTACCTGGTCCTTGTGGTTTGTCAGGTGGTTCTTCAGGTTATTCTAGTTACTTTCATCTTAATTTTCTGATGTTTAGGTTCTACATGGTTCTTGTGAACACAGAGGGTTTTGTTGTAGTCCTTTAGGTGGTTCTGGTGTCCACTGAGGAAGTTCTAATGGTCATTTAAATGGTTCTTTTGGTCTGTTAGGTGTTTTTTGTGGATACTTACTTTAATCTGTAATTACTTTGTACATCATTTTGAGAGCTGGAGGGCTTCGAACTTCCTCAAAGGTTTGGATTAAGGCTTTGAGGTGGTTCCACTGGTCCTTTTGGTGGTTCTAATGGTTTGTTTGGTTGTTATGGTCATGTATGTTTATGTGATACCAGTGGTCGCTGAGGAGGTTCTAGGAATCATTAAGGTCGTTCTAGTGGTCATTGACAAAGCTCTGTGGTTCTTGTGGTCTGTCAGGTAGATCTTCAGGTTACTCTAGTTACTTTAAACTGTCATTAATTTGTACATTATTTAGGTATCTTAGGGCTTACAACCTCCTCAAAGGTTTGGGTTTAGATGTAAGGAGGTTCAACTCATCCTTAAGGTGGTTCTAGAGGTCATTTAAGGGGTTCTATATGATTCTTGTTGTGTGTCAGGGGGTTGTTACGTTCACTGAGAAGATTCTAGGGCTCATTTATATGATGGTAGCCATCACTGAGGAGGTTCTAGGAATCCTCAGGGTGGTTCTAGTGGCCATTTGAGAGGTTCTTTGTGGTTCTTGTGGTCTGTTAAGTGGTTTTTGTGGTTACTTTAATCTGTCATTAATTTGTACATCATTTAGGGATCTTAGGGCTCAGAGCTAGAGGGCTTAGAACTTCCTCAGAGGTTTGGGTTTTAGGGGGTTCATTTCATTTCATTTGTTTATTGTCATTTGCATGCTTGCACATGAAACAAAATTCCCTCTGTCCCTCTGTGTCACGATCGTACCATTTATACAGAACAATGAGGCGGCATGTCGGCGTGACCTTCCTTGAACAGGCGGTGTAAAACTCTATGACGAGGAGAACTGAAGGTGTTCTAGTGGAACAACACTTAAGTAACTCACCTCAGACGGAGATTTATTTTCATTTGTCACCCATCTGTGAGTCGTTGGACGACCCTCCAACTGAATCTTTTTATTTGGTTGCTTCACTACAGAGAACATGGCGCTCAGCTGAAAGATGAGCTGAGCCTTAACCAGTGCCGTCTGGACGCTCTCTGGAGACACTTCTCTGTGATTTGTAGTAAAACCTGCAGAAACACAGCAGCTGACTGTATGAGGAGGTCTGTCAGTATACAATGTGCCATATATGATTCAGATATACTTGATACAATCGTACAGCGTCAAAAGCAACAAAATAAACATAAAGCTACATTTCCGTCTCTCTGGGTCAACAGCCCACATTTAACAAACTGCTACTGTCACACTCTGGACTCCAGAGAGAGATAAAAATAAAATATCTCCACTTTTACTCGCTGAAGGAAAAATAAAAACTCTGCTGCACAGACTTTGACCATTTAAAAAACTGGAGACATCAAGGGGTGAATAAAATCAACTCTGACCTGCTGGTGGCGCTACAGGAAAAGTGAAAGGATCACTGAGAGTCAGTGAGACCGTGAAGACCCGTCCAACACTGTCCAGGAAATGTTGCTAATATTTCACTAAAAAAAACACACCACCTCATGGTGGTGTTCGAGGGTTCATCCTCTGGCCAATGCCTTCTGTGCAGGATGTTATAGTCACAACAATTAACACAAAATCAGCCAATCCCTGTGAATTTTGAGCGGTCACTGAAACTTAACCACAAATTTGACTATTAACATCTGATTTCATGGTGGAGCTCCGTGCAGGACAGGAGCTCAGGGTCACACACACAGTGACAGGGCTAACTGTTAGCATCACGTGGCTAACGTGACCTAACGGTTATTAACAGGTTTAATGACAGAGTCGAGCTGTTTTGGTGTCAGCTCGGTGTCTGATGTTCTCAGCAGGAGAGGAGCAGCTTATGGAGACGCTCCTGCAGCTCTGCGTCAAACACCATCAGCAGCTGATTGTTGGTGATCAGCTGTTGATGCAGACACCCCCCATCTCCGCAAATCACGAATAGATTCTAATTCTGTGGGAAACACTGAGCGCTCACGATAATGAGCTCCGAATCAGAAACAGCATCACAGCTACTCTTGTAATTTCCACTTGCCCAAAAATTGAACTGCAAAAAAAGGCCAAAAGAAGTTGTAAAGAATTTTTTGAAATGAGAAATATCAGGCCGCAACAATCCCAAACACAGCCTGCGAAATCCTGGACAGACTGACGAAGTGAACATCTGTGAAACGTTGATGGAAATAGAGATATTCCAGAGTGGATCAGAGACGTGGACTGACTGACACTGAAGGACAGTTAATCATTTTGTGGCCGGTCAGAGTTTCCGTCCATCACTGTCCCTCTTCGTCCTTCTGACCTACTTGATCTGATAAAAACTGGACATGGTGACGTAAGCCTCTGCCTCATTCCCTCCGCCGCTGCGCTCAGGCTGAGGTGTGTGAGCTCTCTCCTCGGGCGGCTGCACTTGGACGGGGGACGGACTGGTGCTCTGGAGGGCGTCCTCTCCATCGGAGGAGCTCCGGCTCAGCAGGGCAGACAGCTCCAGCTCCTCTGTGCTGACGCTGGTGGTGCTCCTGGAGGAGTCAGAGCTGTGGGAAGAGCCGGGAAATTCGGAGTGAGCACCGTCAGCGGCTGCAGCAGCGATCGAAGTTTCCTCACACGGCTGCTCCTCCATCTTCTCCACTTTAAGAGCGCTGAACACTTCAGGTTTGAAGTTCAACAGGAGGCCCTGAAACAAACAGGACAGATCCCATCAGTGTGTGGAGCATCAGTCAGAGCGGTCTGAACATCACCTCATCTCAGATCAGATGTTCTCCTCTGACATCACTGCACTCACAGTTTGTTCGTTTAGTCATGTTTAACCCTGTTGAAGCGGTCCTCCAGTGCCTACGGTGGTATTTCTGCTTACCGTGTCATTTCCTGGAGTGTCTTCAAATGCTTCCTAAAATCTGTACAATTATGTTTCTGATATGAATGTAATGATTAAATGATATATTTTGGTGGTTTGAGTTGAAGGTGTGAGAAAGAATAGTATCAGTAACATTGTTAACACTGTGCTACATTACAGAGAAATACAAACCGTACTAATGAACCTTCATTAATATAGGCCTATATTTTATCTCCAAGTGCACGTCACACACTGAGCGAGCCGCCTGTTAATGACGCTGTGGGCTAATGGGCATGTAGCTACTTCCATGTTTCACATGATACGTCATGTTTGTAGTCGACCAATGAAGATGAGTTTACATATCACCTTGGGTTCGTCCTTCACCTTCTCAAAATGATCCCACACTTTGGATTTCCTGCCCGACATGTTATTAACTAGCCTGTGGAATAACCACAGGTACCAGCCCTGGAAAGTAGGGGCTGTACACCTGCTGCGTCTTTAACCACCTGGGAAACATGAGGTTGGGTGCTGGGCGTAACCTTAACAAGCATCATGTCGCCTGTTGACCTGAGCTGTTTATAAGTGTGTAGGCCTATCGTCAGTGGGACAGATGTGAAGCTCTGGGCAGCCCTGCACTAACATGATCATCTTTTATCAAACTGAATATTTACAGAAGAAGAGAAAGATATCTGTCGGCTGTGATTGGTTTGTAACATGACTCCTGTCTGACTGCTGAGCGTGGCCTCTTTTAGACAGCGTGCAGCAGTTCTTCTTCTTCTCTGTGTTTATTGGCGGCTCACAAACCAAATGTGTGTGTGTCTGTGTGTGTATACTTATGTATCTCTATGTGGGGTGGGAGGGTTGGGTTTTCTCTTTTCTTTTTTGTTTTCTGTTTTGGTTCTTTGTTGTTTTTAACCTCTGTGAGGCACTTTGTGTTACTGTCGTATGAAAAGTGTCATATAAATAAAGTTGATTTGATTTGAAATATAAAGCTACATGTACATCCACCCACTGTGCCAGGGGGTAGGTGCTGCCCTTGTTAAGTCAATGAACGCAGTCCGACTTCCTTTTATTGGCTATAATTTAAATTATCAGAGTAATGCATAATTATGAAAAATGTCCCATCATGCACCCCATTAAGGATCAATAAAGTGACTATTTTAGTACAAACTGTGCGCTGCGGCACTTGGAGTTAGTATTCCTGAATGCACCCCTAATTCTGACCACGAGAGGACGCTGTGGTTGTTTTTCTGATGAGGACAGTCTCACAGTAAAATGACTCACTTTATTTGGCTTGCAGATCTGCACCAGCGTGTGTTTGGGGTGCGGGATGCTCGGCCACATGTAGGTAAAAATTCTGCAAAGGAATGAAAAGAGAAATATTAATATATGACTCATGTGTGAACAAACTGACTCTACGACAAGAAAGCAGAGACGTCATACTTGTTTTTCCAGAAGAAAATAACACTTAAAGGCACCACCAGCAAAACGACAAAACACAGAAGCAGTCTGTACGTCTCCCGTCTCCCGTCCATCTGTTTTTCTTCTCCTGGAGGAAAACAAGAGCACAGAGTCAGATGAGGTCGTTATTCTGATGTGAGCGTGAACAGGATTTGTTCTCACCAGCGGGAGTAAAGAAGCTGTACGTTTCACTCCACTCGCTCCAGGTACCCTGCCAACCTTTCACTGGTAACGCTCGCACTTTGACATGATACTCGGTGTGTTTGCGGAGGTGCTGCATGTCGATCTTTAGAGTGTCCAATGAGAAGTTTTGAGGCTGTGGTCAAACAGGAAGTACAGCTCAGTCACTGCTGAACATCGTCAGAGGAAGAAATAAAAACTGCAGCAACACAAATCAAATGATGTTACTATTGTTCTGCCGGGGCTCTGGATGAGCAGCTGGAAGAGTTGGTTGTCGAGTGTCAGGTAGTCTTTGTGGTACGGAGTCTGAATACGAATCACAGCCTGGTTTGACTCGTGGTCGAAAGTCACGTTCTTCACCTGAGGACTTCTCGGTTTGACTGCAGGGACACAACAAACAATCACGAGACATCTGAGACATAAAATCACCTTGTAAAGACTCAGATTGAAATCTGTTGGATTGTGTTGATGTGTTTCTGTTCATGGCCTCCAGAGGATGATCCTCTTGTTCCGACGGTCCATTGTCCCAAAATCTGTATTTGATGTTTTTCTCGTCAAAAAGCCAATAAGATTTATATCTGTCTGTCTGTCTGTCTCTGTCTGTCTGTCTGTCTGTCACCATGACGACAAACTGTCCCTTACCTTAACTTTTTTTTAACCCAAACCATTCTGTAAACCGTACCTTAACCAAAGAGTCACATCAAACCATGTAGTGATTACTCAACAGGCCTAACAGGCACAGGCCCAGGGGCCCAAAGTGTCAGGGGCCCCTGGGCCTGTGCCTGCGAAATGTCACTTAAAAACTGAAAATGACCACAAAGAGACATAAAATTAGCTCCAAGAGAAACAAACTGAGTCAGTGATAATGAGTTTTCCAGCTCTGCAGGAGGGACTCACCTATTTTCTTCAGGTCCACCATGGTTGTGGTCGAGCTTCCTGTCTTCAGGTGGACGGACACGTTGAAGTCAAGGACAAGAAGCAGATCTTTGGAGGTGACTGTGTCTCCAGGAACCTTCAAACACTTCTCTTCTTTTTTATTTCCACTCCAGTCGAAGTAGCTGTGAACAGACGAGCAGAGCCGTGGCTCAGTGACTGAACGTCCTCTGAACGCTGCTGATGTCACACCTACACATGACGGATAAAAGCCATTACCACACTGTCATCCTGTCTATGACATCAGCCTCTTCGTCTTCATCGTCCTCACTGTCGCTCCGGCCTCCGACCAGTTTACAGCTCAGACTACTTCCTGCCATCAGGATGTCAGAGGTGCAGCTGACTCTGGGCTCTGACAGGAAACACACAGATTCATTAGCGACGTCACATCCTGTCCCAGTGTCACGCTCACGGTGGACAGGAAGGAAGTCATGGAGCATTAAAGGAACACAGTGGCCATTTGGTTGTCAGTTCTTCGCCACCTGTGACGTTGAATTCATGAAGGAAAGAGAGAATTCAGAAAAGGTGAGTGTTGCTGATGAAGTGCAGTAAATGGGGTGCGCCTTTACCTGCAGGTGCCCCACATCAGAACAACAGTCAGATGTTCAGGACGCCACCAACACGTGACTTTTACACCAAAACACTGAAACATGATTTACAATCGGTCACCTTTCAGCCGACAGGAAGTAACAGCACCAGATCGACAAGGTGTGCGTCAGCAGGGCAGGACAAATATGACGTTTGGATGAGGTGTTCTGCGTGCGCCCCACGGCGGGAGATTTAGGCTGTCTTCAGATATTTTTGTAAACAGAAATTTTCCTTTACTTTCAGGCCTCTCGTCCACACAAACACTCTCCGAGCTGAAAATTGATCAAAACTCTGTTTCCTGTTGAGTGGACGTGTAAAACTGAGCATTTGGAAAATTTGGGGAAAAAAATCACACATGCCTACTGATGCTTTGAGCAAACACTGGAAACAACAACAACAATGGCGGACTACTGGTTTGTTAGCGTTTTGTCAGTACTGCTCGGTCTAATGATGACTTTACACCTAAACTCACCACTTCACAAACAAACAGAGGCGTCTGCTGCACCTGAGGGTTTGTGGTTTAAAGTGCATCAGAAGCGATGGTTTTGGCTCAGGACCGGTGAAACCAGCAGACGATGGGACACTTTCAGAGTGGGACTGTTGATGATGAGGAGTGGAAGGAAAACTTTCACATGTCCAGACAATCACTCGTCTGTTTCAGTGAGTTTCTTCGTCCTTAAACTGGATGGGAATCAGCGGTGATGGGGGTTTGGTTTTTTCAAGATATAATTTTAATTGACAGGACAGCTAAGTGTGAAGGGCGGAGAAAGAGAGAGAGAGAGAGAGAGAGAGAGAGAGGGAGGGACAAGATGCAGCAAAGGGCCACAGCCAACAAACAGGCGGTGAAAATTATATTTAGATGATCATATTGACATCGCACAATCTTTCACCACAGTTTCAATGTTTCTATCTGTAAGTATTTAATTTTGACTCAACACTTCCTGTTTCCGTTTCAAAATAAAAGTCCCCTGACAACATTTCTGTGAACAGAATCCCTTCATTTGTTACCACAAGGCAGTGGAGCCGATACGTTTCAGTTCTAGTCAATGTGTGTGTTTCCACCGGCTGTGGCTGTGTTGCGTTCCGTCACAGCTCCGGAGCCCTCCGCAACAGATACGCAGCACTTCTGTTTTTGCCGGACGCCGGAGCACAACGCAGCAATTCAGCACAGAGCAGATCGTGCGGGGCAGGAAGTCGTGCACAGAAACAAAATAAAACATCTGGTTAATTTTCAAAATAAAATACACAGTGTTCACGGCGGATCATATTTCCCTGCACTAAACCTTGAAAACATCATAATGGGCAGAGGCAGGCCTGAAGTCAACAGGTCAGAGGTTTTCAGACGTCATTTCACCCCGTAAACACCATTGACGAGGAGATGTTAATCATGGCAGTGCACTGAGATGTCTTCCGGCAGAGCTGCACCGCTCCACACAGCAAACGCAGCCGGTGGGTATTGACAGACAGCGGAGCACTCAGCGGATAACCAGCGCTGCCGTTCCGCCACGGACACGCATCCAGTGGAAATCCAGCGTAAATTAAAGAAAAAGAACAGCAGCTGTTGACAGTTTGCGGCTAACTCAAAGAAGAAGAAGAGCAGCTGTTGGCATTTAACAGCTTCATCATCCTCCTTAAATATAAACCATCCTCAATGGGTCCAATCAAAGTCTTGTCACATTTTTTTATGTGCATGTGCAGCAGTAAATAAATATTCTTTTCACTCAGAATGAGTCTCTGCTGATTGAATGATGTCAGGGGGACATAGAGACAGAGACAGAGAAATAGAGAAGCTCAGTGGGATCACAGTGCGGTGGACAAATGTTTGAGTTTGTCATTATGACTTTAAAAGTGACTTTATAGTCTGAATTTGTTGATAAAAGTTTCATTTCTGAGAGCAAATACTTGATTTGTTTATAATCATCAAAACCCCAAATGAATATGTTGACATGGATCCACATTTATCTAGAAATGAGCTGTCATGACATCTGACTGATTCTGAAAGAGCACGCCACAAATGTGTTTACAGGTTCTGTGACCAGGGCCGGGCCCAGTATCGAGCCCTGAGGTTTACCACAAGAAAGTTTCACAGACAAGGAAGTGGAGTTCAACAGAAAAACACAGCAGCAACAGCAGCAGCAGAGATCATCTGTCTTGATTCCACTCAGTCTTTGCCTACATTACCCACAGTGCTCCTCTCTTCTCTGACAGCTGTGTGGGATTGTGGTGTGTTAGCAGCAGTGGTTCATGTTTCCTGCAGCAGAGACGAGCAGCATTTCTTTCTGACTCCACACCTCCAGATTTTTTTTACTTGTCAGACTTGTAGTCTTCAGCTGATAATGAGTCACGTAACATCACTGGAGGACGTTTATCAAACATCACACAGCTCCCTCTCAGAGGAGATGCTGAACTCTTTACAGTCTTGTTAAAAATGTGCGGTAACACTCCACAGCACCTGCACACACAGTGACTGGGAGTTCCTCTTTAAAACCTTTTCTAGTCTCTCGTCAGTTACGTTTTCTCCACATTAAAACCACAAGTTTAGTTTTACTTCAGTTTGTCTTTGGTTCAGACAGAAATATCTCAACAACTCCTGGACAGCAGTGGCGTCTGAAGCTTTCCAAATGTGGGGGGGGCAATAAGAGAGGGGGTCTGGGGGTCGGCCCCTGGAAAAGTTTTCTAAAGAAATAGATGTCATTTCCTGCATTCTGGTGCATTCTCACAGGTTTTAAATAGCTTTGGTTCTATTAAAGGATGGTAAAGTTTCATCAAAGGAAAGAGACTACGACAACAATTCAGTGACAAATTTAGAGGCAGCTGCAGAGCCAGGAATGACCTTTGCATGTAAATATTAGCAGTAAATTTCTGATTCTGAATTAGGTTTGATTTTAAACAATCTTGTGTTTGCAGCAGAGGTGAGACAGCAAACAATACTGCATTAATCTCTGTCAGTGGGGAGACAAAGGGGAAGAGTTAATAAATCCACAAAGATAAATAGAGAGAGAGGTGGACGAATAGATAGATAGATAGATAGATAGATAGATAGATAGATAGATAGATAGATAGATATCACTATATACATTTTTCATATCATGTTAAAAATGATAGCGTATTTTCAGGAACATGATATGACACAACACAAATCAGACTATAAATCATAAACTGTCTAATTGTTCCCAAAACTGCAGGATATGTTTAAATTCTAATATTGGACTGTTTTGAAATGGGTCCATGGGGGACGCCGCCAGCACCAAACAAGTGGCCTCTCACAAAATGTGTCCATAAATCAAAAACAGTTTGGTCAAACTTTTCCAAACTCAGGAGGTTTTTAATTCAAGTGTTAAAGTTCCCAAAATGCCTCTGTCCTGATCAGCAGGGACAAACAGTGTGAAGAGGACAGGCGGGGACGGCTCAGATTTGGACGTGAATGAATGTCTGTCTGATGGTCATAAAACCTGTGGGTGTACTGTGAACTTCATGCTGGCTTGAACCCTGTAATCAGCACATGTGGCTTCATTCTGTCGATTATCTTCATCCTTCGGTCTAAGCACGTCTGACGCAGGTGGAAAACAGACGTCACAAGTTCTGAGGTCATGTCTGAGCGAATCTCTTCCAGCCAACACGACATATGACGTCATCAACACGCTAACCTTCCCACCCCCACCATCCCCACACTGCACAGTGACACACACATCATGATAACATCTGCTCAGATGAGCTGTCACTCAGTTTTTCACTCTGACGCTGTGTTCTGGGGAATAACAGCACCTGCACCACAGCAGATAACCATCAACAACACCGAGACGCCGCCTCACATCTGCTCACTGCCACGTCACCGCCGGCCTCAGCTGACCGGGACTGATACACAACATGAGTTTTCTTTGTTTCGTCACATATAAAACAGATTCAGTTACAGAGTCAGCATGTCACATGACCAACATTTACAGCAGACAGTTTTTATCAGGATGAACTGAAGTCGTTTTCAAAGTTTGGCTCGTCTGTGACGTGCTATCTGAAAGAAAACAGGACTTTATGACCTGTAAATGTTGAATGACCTGCACTCGTACAGCAGGTTTCTGGTCCTCCCACCTCTCAAGGTGCTTTCACACTGTCACATTCACACACACTCACACACTGATGAACAGCCATCAGGAGCAGTTTGGGGTCCAGTTCACCTCAGAGCTCAAAGGGTTAAATGCTTGTGAACGGCATCTGAGATCCTGTAAAACGGGTTGTTTTTTTCCAGTGTTTGGGAAATAATCTCGTCACCAGGACAGTTTGAGTCCTTCAGTGTTAGTTGTTGTCAGATTGGTGTTAAGCTTCAGTCTAACTGTCCCTCAGCTGTCGGAGCTCTGAACTCTTGGCTCAGTGACTTTGAGTTGTTGGACACTTGTTGAGTGACGATTGGATCAGGATCAGGTACCGACCCACAGGTGCAGAGACTCACCTCAGATATGTGGTTCTAACTCTGATGAACACTGACTGAGCTCTGGAGGATGAAGTGATCACAGATGTGTCTCTGCAGTCACAGATAAGAAACAGGTGAGCAGATGCTCCAGATGAAATGATCCTCTCACCCATGTCCGTGTCTCCATCTCCGCTCTGAGCCCGAGTCCCAGCCGACAGCAGCAGCAGCAGCAGCAGCAGCGGTGCAGCGATCCAGCAGCCAAGCAGCATCTCCTCAGTCAGAACGCTGATCTCAGCAGCTGACGGCTTTTCTGTCAGCCACAGAGGAAGGAGGAGTGGCCTCTGTGCAGAGGAAGAGGAGGAGGAGGAAGGTGCTGACAGGATGTAAATCAGAAAACATCTTTGCAGGTTGTGTGCAGAGCTGAAAACACAGGCAGTAAACACACACCCTTCAGTCACAGATCACACACACTGACTTCCATTAAACTAAATGTTGTCTGACATCTTTCTTTAAAGTCCACTGAGACGCTCCTCTCTCTGAACATGTCCCCGTCCAGTCTCTTTACCCCTGATCCCCCTCTGAGTCAGTTAACAAGGAGAACCTGCTGAGTCCTGATCCGATTCTTCTGGTGTCCTGCATCATTCAGCTGCACCCCAACGCCTGCAGCTCATGTAACTGATGAATACTGTTTTATCAATAACCATTTTTTCCATAACGTAAACGGAACGATGACGAGCTAAAAATAGATCCTGATGATGAAAACATTGAGGTCGTCGAAATCTGGTGCTTGGGCAGTGACTTGTGGCGTCAGAAACCAGCAAGTAAACATATGATATGTAGCTGGTTGCCGCTGTAGTTAAATGGCACCTGGTGGGCGAACACAGCGGGACAAGGACGAAGGTTAAGGCAGCAAAAGTCTGACTGGGGCAGCGTTGACCCTGGAGGGCGGTGTTCACTTCCTGTGAGACTGTAAAGCCAAACCCTTTTCTGTTGTCCTAAACCCAACCACACATATGTGTGTGTGTTGGCTAAACGTAACCAGGTGTGTGTGTTGGCTAAATGTAACCAGGTGTGTGTGTTGGCTAAACGTAACCAGGTGTGTGTGTTGGCTAAACGTAACCTCATGTGTGTGTGTTGGCTAAACGTAACCATGTGTGTGTTGGCTAAACGTAACCAGGTGTGTGTGTTGGCTAAACGTAACCTCATGTGTGTGTTGGCTAAACGTAACCAGGTGTGTGTGTTGGCTAAACGTAACCA